GTGGGGAGACCCGAAGGGAAATCGGAGAATCTTGAATAAATGTTGTCAACACGTGAGGTGGATCATCCGAAACAATATGGCTGAATGAGGAGTATTGATTAACGCCCGGAAATCGTTGCTCGCGCTCCGAAAGCGGCTTTTATAAACACGAAAAGACGGAACAGCTGTCTCTGCGTTTGGACGAAGAAAGATGGCCGGCGACGACGTAACGAGAGACAATGGAAGCCAGTGGCCTTGGGGCGCCGCGCAGTTCCGTCGTCAGCGAATTCTTTTCGTATCTCGGCCTTCGGACGGGTCCAAGGTTGGGCGCTCCGACCAAGTGAGTAAGCAGCTACTGCGCCCTCCCGCCGAGATGGCGCGCGTGCTCTCGAGAGCCGCCGTAATTGCTATCAAATCGTTGAACAAACATATCACAAATCTCGCGTGTGCCGTTTCCATGGTGACGGCGAGCGGAGTTTTTGTTTTAAGGAGCACTGAAAATACCCGCCCGCGACATTTCACGTGATCGTACAGTCAGTGACCACACCCCAACAATCCGCGCGACTTCGATGTTGGAGCCCCGGAAGTCCAGGGGTGTCAAATATTTACTTTTCACTCGCATGGCCACCTCGCTCCCAGTTACATTTATTCTAGACGAGCAGCATCGATCGCCCAATGCGATTAATCCTCGTTTCGAAAGCCGTGCTTCGCCCTCGAGAATCCCGTCGCGTCTTAGGGTTGAACGTGGCCGCGCAGTGCATCCGTGTCCACCCCTGCAGTACCGGCGCTCGCCGTCGAACAAATGACTGACATATGCGCTCCAATTATAACAATGCCCACAGCTCGTCATCACCCGTCACCTAACAATCCCGCGGTCCCCATTAAATCCGCCCCCCGCTGCGTCGCTCCATCACCGGGTGTTTCAAAACGTGCGTCACCGTCACGTGCCGCTGGTACTCGGCGTCTCCACCCCCGCCCACGCAGTCGACGGCCCCATCCGAGGACCACACGGCGTCACAACCCGCGAGACTGCAAACCGCGTCCTGTGAACGGACAGGGTCTGCGGAGAAACACTTTGCATTCATTTCTCGCGGGGCGTCTGTCTGCGGTTGTGGCGCCGCGAGAACTCGTCTTCAGCCCTGATCGTGGACGCGGCATGTCCTCCCTAAACGCTGGTGTCTGCGAGGAAAATGGCGCTTGAAACTCAGTTCAGAGGGAAAATACATTTATTTTACAGGAGTCTGTACATTTGAGTTCGTTTCTGTCCGCCTGGTCGCTCGGCTACTCACTCG